CTAGAGTCAGATCAGTGCGAGAAAAGTGTAAAACAACATATAGGTCGTCTGCAAACAAGCTATATACAGCTACCGAGGAAGCGACAGATGTAAGATCATTTATAAAAATCAAGAATAAAATAGAGCCGAGTATCGAACCTTGCGGTACTCCAGAGCTCACATGAATTAGGTTTGAAAGAACATTGTCGATCTTAACACACTGGAATCGATCACCTATATAGAAGGTGAACCATTTATGCAGTTGACCATTTATTCCTACAGATTCTAGCTTTTTTAATAGAGTACTATGTGACACCTTGTCAAAGGCTTTGCACAGATCAAAACTTAAGCCAACAGAGTGACCCTTCTCATTTAAGTTATCGTATAATGATTTTGTTACGTAAAGTAGAGCATCAGTAGTCGAACTCGATGGTCTAAAACCAAACTGAGTGAAGCATAAAATACGATTATCCAGAAGAAAAGCTAAAAGCCGTTTATGTATGACCTTCTCAAAAATCTTGCTGGGAACGCGCACTAATGAAATTGGACGGTAATTACTGATTTTAGATACCTCATCTTTCTTGTGTACTGGGCGAACAATAGCAGCTTTCCACGGTGTAAGAAAAACACCCGTGTTGATAGATAACTGAAAAATATAAAGCAGATGTTTAGCTATTACCAGATGGCATAATTTTATAATTTTTAACTATATGTTATCCACTCCTACACTTGGGGTGTTTTTCAACGAAGAAATAGCATCCAGGATATCTTGAAGCATAAAAGTAAAATGAGACAGATTGTGTTGTCTGCTACAAGAGAAAGCTGAAAGTGGAGAAGAATTTGATGTTACATCAGCAGGAGCGAAACATGTGGAGAAGAACTTATTGGACATATTTGCACTATCAAGAGAGAAATTGAGGTTACGTTATTGTCATCACTGAAAGATTTTGGCTGTGGGGAATTACCCTTACGAAATTTATTAATAAAAGACCAAAACTTTTTAGGATTTGAGAAATGTTTTGAAATTTTCTGAAACATACAATCCTATTGGAAAGCTAATTTTCCAAAGACCCTAGAAAACCTGTTTTAGAAAGCTCTTCTGGGAAAAATTTTGGTGATGAAAACATGTCTCCAAGTCTCCTCTTTCCAATGGTGAAAATTGGAGCGCTTTAGCTTTTTACTATCAAAAGTTATTCCAAAAACATTCATATATCATTCTGTTTTTGGATGGACAATAGTCGTTTTCCATAATTCAAGAAATCCGCTGGTGTTGCTGGGAACTGCTTACTGACCTCCAATTTCAATGTTGGCTTAACTTTTGTCAACAAATATTGTAATCTGATTGCTTCTGACATTTGTGGATCAGCTTCTTTACTAGGCATGTAGCGAAACCGAATCTTCCGAGCAAGATTCGGGTCCGATACTCGGGGTTCGTTCTGGTCTCGGTATTCGGGACTCATTCTAGTCTCGGTATTTGGTATTCGGGACTCGTTCTGGTCTCGGGATCCGATTCATGTTCAGTAATGGGATTAAGCTTTTGACATCTGTGCTTACTTTATGACAAATACATTCGTTCTGATCAAGAAATGCATTACGTGATCTGTGATCAACGACTCTCACTGATGATAGATGTATTTTCCGTATGCAGAAAAAAACATAAACTAAAACTAGTTAATACCCGATACGAATCGAATTCCGAGACTAGACCGGACCCCGAATACCGAGATTAGAACGAGTCCCGAGTCCCGAATACCAAGCTTATCAACGAACATACCATACGTTTCAAAATTTTGATTCGTTACAAAAAAACCAAGTTAAGGCCTTTTTAGTCAATAACGATGGGATAAAAGCGAGACGTTGATTTGGTGGAACACGAATCTCTGTAAATGTTTCATTTACTGACTCAGGATCTTCGACACCAGAGAATTTTGGAAAATCCTCACAAATATCTTAACTAGTTGACGGTTGTTTCTGCCTGTAGTATTCAAATGTCATCTGACTTGACGGCTGCTGTTGTTGAAAATGATGGTTTCTGCTGTTGAGTTGGTTTTAACTAGGTATGTTACAAACCCAAACCCAAGCGACTTGGGTGTATTGGGTTTGGGTACCCAAGTCTGAGACTTGGGTTTGGGTCAGTTACATTAATATTCTTCTTCAATAAAACTTAGCAGTAGTAGCTTACGCTCTTCTGCCATACTATTCATTTATCTTTTTCTCTTCATCGTCAGTGGTTTCGCTTTCAAAACTTCACTTTTTTTCTTTAGTTTTCCGTATTCTTTTACATCATTTTTTATAGTGTACACCGATCATTTGTTAACATATTTGTGGCATGTTATCAGTGCTTATTTCTTTAG